GCATGGACACACAAACAATAATAACTGGACAATATGGGCACTGGACAATGGGCAATAACAACAATACCATGGTCGGTTGTTGGACCCTGTTCCATTCATTGCCGGCTGTTTGTTGGTCACCAGGTCCACGGCCATTTTTTTCTCCGATCCAACGGTGTGGGGAATGCCCTGCGCTCCGTTGAGCAAAGCAAATGGATGCTATTGGATGTGGGTCAAACCACTCACGACACATGAGTTGTTTGATGCAGTTTGCTAAGTTATTTGCTTCATATGTGCACATTGAAGGTTAGGCTTAGGACATCTGAAACTTGCTTTGCTGCAATCTGCACATGGATACCGTGTCGTTTGCAAGGTTTGTGCACTCATCTGGTCAAGTGCTGTTAACAGAATCCCATGATCTCAGTGAAAAAAAGTGTACTGAACATCAACATGCAAATCGATACAAATGCATCTTTGCTGACTTCTGCATGGACACATGTCCAAGAAGCTTCCCTGTTTCAGTGTGAATTATTGCCGGGGTAGTGGTTGGGGTATCCTTCTCAGGTACCGCTTTACAACTCAAATGCTTGTGCATTTCTTCGACAAACAGAATGGACATTGAAAACAGTCCAGATATTGGGCCCGAAAAAAAGTCGGTCTCAACACACCAAAGGTGCTGGGTCAAGGTCTCAACCGTTACCAACACCTGCAGCATCCGGCTGCTGGCAGCTGGAGGTTGAAGAACCCTAGTTCGACTATACCAGTTGGGTACCCCAGCAGGGTCCTAATGATAAGGTCACTTATGAATTACTGTAACCTCTCTTGGAATTGACTTCCACGTTCGCTGAATGTCTTGTTTCTGTTCCCATCTTTTCCCCACGAAAGTCTGGGCCCTCTGATACCAATCGAAGCAGGAAAACAAAACGCAGTTGTCATTGACCAGCGACTCCTTGACTGAGAGCCTTGACCGCTCAAATCAACATAGAAGGTGTTGTAAACAAAGCTCTTGATCTCCAATTCTCCAAGCCAATGGAGTAATCCTCTGTGACTATATGATACTATATATGACATTATATGACTATATGCATTGAGGTTTGTATAGCTTTGCGATGCTTTGTGTTTACCAGGTGCCCAAGTTGCCCTGAGATGCTCTCGCTGTTTCACCAATCTTTGTTGAAGCGCTCTTCGATGTGTTCAACTGTTTTTTGATGAGGGTCCCAAACGCACCGCCCTCTTACTTTTGTTTGCTTTGGTGGGTGAGCTGCTGAGATTGCAAGATTTGGTGCTTTTTGATCCGCTGCGGACCGCGAAAACCCGCCGTCTGGGAAGCGACACCAATGCTCCTTTCGGAGGGACGACCACATCCAACACTCCTTCGGGTCTCCCGCCGGCTGAGGCTTTGGAGCGTCTTTGCGCATCTTGTAAAGGCGAAGCTTCAGGGGATATGCAGGAATTTTCGAGGTAAGAACATGTAGGACATGAGGGTGAAACGGGACAGGATGTAAGTATAGCACCACCCAAACCTAGGCAAACAATATAATTCGGAAGGGGTGGTCGTGTCAAGTCACTGGTGATGAAAGGCTCAGGCTAACCAGCAACCCCTAGTAGCTTCTTGTTACTAGTAGTAGGAATGCTCCTAGTAGCGATGCCAGGAGCCCCTAGTAGCGTCCTTGCTCCTAGTAGTAAGGCCAGGAGCCCCTAGTAGCTTCTTGTTACTAGTAGAAGTGCAAGAATGATACACAAGGCATTGAAGGGGAAAATGCAGAAGGATTCGTGCCAAACCCTAGCGGCCCTAGCTGCTTGGGAAATCCTTCGAGGTCGGCGTAAACCTGACAAAGCCAATCCATGTTTAGTCTTCATAGAAAAGCCAAGGCAAGCTTTGGAGACCACTTAGCCACTTCATGCCACTTCCAAAGCCTCGCCATCCGTGAAGTTCTTATCGCGCACGCGAAAAGTGAAACATGAGGTACTTTGATGTGCTCAATTGGAAGGCATTATAATGGTTACAATATGTTACAATGTGCTTAACCATGATAATTAATTCTGTTCATCTTGGAGCCCCAGCATGGACAATCTTTGGGCGAAGCAGTCTCCCCGTTCGCAAGAGCCTCTCTCTTTCAGAAGGGTTGGCCACTCCATCTGTAACTACTGCGATCCCCGGAAGATACGGTACCTTCCGTGAAAGAATAATGCAAGTGGAACATGCCCCCGTTGGAAGATCGTTTTTTCCGTGCCGTTTTCCGTGCCGACTTCCCGGGGCCCGCACGACGGGCCCAGCCATCTGCAAAGCGGGCCCCGGTCTGTGATGGGGCATTTCGACTGGTGGATGGGATCGGACAAAGATGATTAGGCTTATGATGTTTGAGGTGCTAGTGCTAGTATGGGCACACCTCTTCCACCCATGTGGCACACCTCACGTGTCCAAGGATTGTGGACAAAACACATTGTAAATAGAGAACCGATGAATCAATGAACGCACCAACCAGTCCTTCCTTCTTCCGCACATGAACGCCAGTTCGCACGGCGCTGCATTCGCAGGTGGAACCGCCTCTCTTCGAAGACAGCCCCGGCTCTCTCGGGATGCATCCGTCTTCGCCAGTGGCTTCTGGCTTGAAGATTCATCACAACCGGTCATCCCCGATGTAGAAGTGATCGCAGTTCAGCCCATCTTGATTCAAGTGGAAGCTTCAAGGGTGCAGAAAAAATGACCATATGGTAGTTGCACAGCAATTAAGTTAAATTAGTACCTTAAATGTGTCCTTCATGCTCTAGATCTATACATAGTGATCAGTTGTTAGGCAAATAATAGAATAGAAATCACCTAATGTGCACCTTTGACCTCAAATAGTCTTAACAACTGTTTTAGTGTTGGTAGTACTGGCCTTACTATAGACTAAAAGAAAGGAATTGCAGGGAATCTCCTTGCTATGCTGAGTGTTGCTTGCTTTCTTTGGAGGCAGGAGCCTTTTTCAAGACGTGTTTTTAACGGCTAGATTTGGAATATCTAGGTCCAGTGGCAAAGCCATTTAGCTTTATGTAGGGGTGTGATTGTAATAATGTTCTGGGATTAGCTTGGCTTTTTATTCTGGGGATGCTTAATTGCTAATATGTCGACATTATAGATTGGACACTCGTTTCGAACACCTTTCGATGCGCTCCGAGGAGCATCCTCCGGCAGCCGGGTCAGCTCCGCCATGTGCCGGCGGACCCACGGTACCGCACGGTCGACGGTCGACCGCTCACTCAGCACGGTGGCTTGGCTCGGCTTGGCCTGGTGTGTTGGCACAGTGGGTCAGTGAGGTGAACTGAACCCACCTCACAAAGAAAGCGACCATCATGCAGGTGCGTCATCCCATCATGCAGGTTGTGCCATGCATCTGCTGAACATCTGCTAAACCTACGAGTCGCAGGGCACCCAAGGGACCAGTGTTCCTGCTCTCACGGATGCACATGCGGAAGAACGAGCAACCATAGAACACATGAGGATACATAAGAGGCAACTGTACAACGCCCTCAAATATGTTCAAATCTTGCCCAGTGACTCTACAGAACTAGAACTGATACTCCGAACTCCCACAAAATTAGAACGTGATCTTGTTTGCGCCGTGTACCGTGCTTGGTGGTTTTGGGAACTGCTAACGTGACTTGCACACTTCCTACTTCCTACTTCGCCTGAGTGTTCTGTCTGTCAAACAGCTGACGGCCTTGGACTCGACCCTTCGGACTGGACTCGACCGTGGACTCCCAGCCACGCACTCACCGCACTCACCGCCGTCGCCCCGACCCCCAGGGCGAACGGTCGCGGTCCTTACGGAACTTCCCGACGGGAGGACCTGGCGGCCCGTCGGGGTGGCCTGTGGCCATTTCGGGGGATCATGGCTGGTGAGTGAGTGTGTGGGGGCCCCTGGCACTGGATTTTTTGTCCATGTGGCTGATTCATTCAGGATGTTGAGATCTTAGTATGCTGATGATCGTTAAGAAGTTCCTATAGATCAAACAAAACAATCCTCCTTGACACGGTCACTTCTATCATCTTCTATGTGCGGCATGCAAAGGAAAGGATGGTAGCACCCTCGTAATGATTGCATGGAGCCGCCAGCGTTGAAGTACAGTTGTCAAATCGGCAGGTCTCAACCCAAACAACTTGGATGTGAGCATTGAGACTCGTGGGGTTCGGGATTTGTTATATAATGTATAGACTCTTGATTAATAACCCCCCTCAATTGAATTGGAAATCCTCTTCATACTGGGGGGGTTATTAATCAAGAGTCTACATTATAGTTGAGTTGAAGAACACGGAATTCCTGCAATAAACGTGGAGCTTGCTTACTCCAAGCAAGCGGCCTTCCGACAGGTGGTCTTTGGAAAGAAAATGGGTCCAAGAGGCGCTTCATCATGCCGTCTTGCATCTGTTCCGATGTGTTCTGGCCAGTTATCCTGTTCGTGTCGACTCCAGTTCGCAAACGGATGGTTCAAGCGATTGGTTTCCGCAGTGCTGCTGAACCCAGTGGATTGGTTCCCACTCTCTTGTCCCAATGCACCCCAACAATGCCACACAAGCAATGCAGGAGCTTAAAACATACTCAACGATGCGTGTGGAGTGAGTTGCCAAGTCAGGAATACAGAACAACTGGTCAAGCATGACACAGCTGCTTCACCAAGTGCTTTGCATCAAAAACATTAAGGTGAAAAGGTGAAACGTCCATGGTGTGAAGCAGCCCATCTTTCGCCCACCAGCCCTAGAGTGCTTCGGTACGGGCTCCATGGTTTCAGCCAGGTCCGGTCCCAGTCCTGCGTTCTTTTTCGATCACCACGCGTTCGTGGCGCTGTAAGGAGGCCGTCTTGGCCGCCGCTTTTGTCCAGCGCAAGAGGGAGGTACGTTGGGCAAGAGGGGAGGTACCAAAGGGATGGCCACATTGAAGTCTGGAAGCCTTCCAGTTCGATCGTCTTGAATCGGTGAGTTACCAACGATTTCGAGACATCAGGTCGACCGCATGTTTCATGCTGCGCATCTAAATTAAGGCCCAAACAACGGCCCAAACCTCCCAGGCCGATCCTCATCTTCCTCCGCCCTTCCTCAGAACCGTCATCAAATGATCTGCTAATTCCAGCACTCGTTTTGACTTGGGATGTCCCACCATGGCACTTTCGACCATCGAAGTACCTCAGATCTTGGACAGCTGGACGTTTCATACACCGCAACTGGTTTGGTTTTGTATGTTCAGGCCGTTCACGGGTGACACACAGATTCTTTCCGGCTTTTCTGGGTTACTGCTAGCAGGTGGTATCCAACCCCTTCGAACGAATCTCAAGTCTTGAGCCAGCGGCTGGGAATATGTTCATTCTCAAGCAGCACTTCTTCAAACAAACTTTTTTGATCCAACATGCATCACTTTGAGGAGCGTCCACTTTCACCAGCGGCACGGAATTCCGCCAGGGGGCAATTCAAATCCGCCAGCGCGCCCACACGCTCCGGCTTGGTATGAACCAAGGAGATCAGCGCGGCGCAGCCGAACCTTGGGTGAAAGCGAAGCAAAGCACCCCCGGAGGTTTGCCTCCGTATTTCAGGCCCTCCTTGGGATGGAGAATGAGGAAAAACATGAGAAACATGAAGGACATACCAAATAGGTACAAATAGATTGGTCCCAGTGCAAGTTGCATGCCCTCTCAATTTTCCATACTTCCATATGCTTCCTGTCCGCCTCTCTTTCTCTCTCTCTGCCCGGGCAAACTCGGCATCCGGACGCTTGCACCCCCTCACACAAAGGAAAATTCCCCATCGCCTGGTCCAGCGAACAGCTCGGTCCGAACACATGGTCTGAACATCGCGGGTGGCTTTCGCCACAGCTGTTGGTGTTTTCGTTTTCGGCCTCCAGCACCAACTCCAAGATCTCTGAGAGGGCAAAGAATTGGACGCGGCACTCCTGGTTTGGATGGAGGGGTCTTTTGGGGGGCCCGCTATTTGCCTGGACCTGGAGGCAAATGTTTCATAATGATTAATGATTGATTCCTCTTCATACATTCTTAACTAGAAGCATCGGCATCATTGTTTGCACCATTATAATACTAGTGCCGTGATCAAAAGCAACGGACCGAGTAAACAAGTAAACAAACCAGCTAGCCAACCAACCAACAACAGTGGCGACGATATCCACAGCAGCTGGTTAAACTACTCGCGTGCGTTTTGATTAAGTTTCCAATAGTTTCCAAACCGCTTTGGTTAGATGGGCAGCTGCTGCAAAAGAGCAAGGCAAAACTCAATACATATATATATATACAGTATATATATAACTCCCGAAAAGGCTTCAGGAAAGCAGTTGTGAAAACAAACTAAAATCACAGCTGCAAAAGGAATAAGCAAATGGTTACGGGTTTGAACCTCTATTGCATGCGAAAGGTCCTGCAAAAAAGCTGTTAGACAAATAAACCCATATATGCTGGCAAAAGGGACAGCGATAGCCTTTTTTGCCAAAGGTTGCTAGGATGACAACGCCGGTTCCAACAGGTTTTCCTACAGCCTGGTCCGCACCACCTACCTTGAACATGTTTTCGTGCAATGGATATGGACGTGCATGAGCCCCAAGCAGCTTGGTGAGGCTGGTGAGCCGATTCAGGGCGCATCGCCCACGATATGAGTTCAAGGCCCTGAGGGCACAATCCTGATTTCACTTCCTGCGTTCTGCGGGGTTGTCCATCTGTGGTCCTCATTCTCAGAGGTCATAGCTTGAACAGCAGCCAGGCCGCTGGTCTGCACTTCCCCACCTCACTCAACAGTCAGATCATTCAGAAACTTCGCTGTTTAGAATGCAAACAAATGCAAAACATGAGCACACATGCCGAGAAATGCGTGCCTTTGGTATATAACTATCCCAAAGTGCAAGCAGTGGTGACCCTGGTCGTTCTGCAATATAGTGCCCCTACCAGAAGGAATGGGGAAAGGCCGGGACACCCCCCCCAAAAAAAAACAGAACGGGTGCTCCTGGGAGATGTTTTTCATGCAAAAAAATGATGCACACCCACCTCAAAAAATATATAAATAATATGTATATATAAATTTATTCATACAATTATACCATAGATCAGGATGTCAAGGTTTTAGACTTCTTGCCCTGCGGCCTCCTTTTGAGTCCTTTTCTTTCTGTCCACCTACTCAGTGACACCTTGTGCCAGCTGCATCTGCCTCTGCCCACGAAAATGTGAGAAACTCCGACATATTCGACCAAGTAGCTTTGGGGAAAGGCTTTCAACGCACGGACCACGGCCTCCACTCCCAGGTTCTTCAAAGCCTCCATCTGCTGCTCACGGCCTCCTGAACATCGAAGGGGCGGAACGCTTCGCTTTTTTGTTGTCAACCACCTGCTGGTGGATGAATTCATGAGACTGCAAACGTTCACACAAAGACTGACTAAACTTGACTAAACCAACAAGCTTCTGGATCCGAAAACTCAGCATCAAATGGGCTTGGCAAACCATACATGCCCATCTTTGTTTGCCTTCTCCGGGTGTTGATCTGGATTCTGGATGCTTCCAAACAACAGTCTTCAACTTTGATCAAGGATGTGAGGCTTGCTGGAAAACCGTGGATGACCCCCCAGAACCTGGGATGATTTCCAATGTGTGGCTTCAACAAATGTGGTGAATCTTTCGCACCTATGGCCTGGAGTCCCACAATACCCGGTTCGTCCCTCAGCCCATCCCTATCAACCATTCTGAACCCCCAGCCTTGCCAAGCAATCTCTGCAAGAATTGAGAGGCCGTACTCCTCGTCGCGGCGTTAAAAAAAAGGCGGAACATCGAAAAAGGCAGTCCATGGAAGGCTCTCCACCAAAGTCGGGAAAATCGGTGAGCCTTCCATGGATTTTGTGGATTCCCCTTGCTATTATAATATAAAGCAGCATCTTTCTGGAGTGATCAGTCTGTAATCCTTTTGAAACAAACCCATCTGCGCGAACTGAAACTTCCGCTCCTGAATCTTCGGCTTGAAGATGTTCAGGTTCATGGCTTCAACCACCTCAGCGTGACTGTCTTTACCAGCAGGCTTCCTCCAATTTCATGCAAAATCTGAGCAACCACAAAGACCAGGTATTGCACAACCAGGGTGGCCATGCTACAAGACCAGGTGGCTGCAATCAGGTGGCTACAACACAAAGACTAGGCCATGCCACAATAACCCGGTTTCTTCTGATAATTACTCAAAACACCAGGTATTTGGATTTCCAATGGCAAAAAAGTTGATGCTGTTGATGCATGACACTCCATTGGCCATGTTGCCGGTGCGAAGGAACCTACTATCGATTTTGCTGGTGTACCCGTGACATTGCCACATACAAAGTGTACTCCATGCTTCTGGAATGCACCGGGGGTACCAAAAAATATACCAATTGATGTCTCCCCATGATCTGCACACTCACCAAAGATGGAAACCATCTTTGGAAGACTTCAAGAGGAAAACTGCACACTTCCCTCCCCTCCGTCCTCCCCACCCGGGTCGTTGATGGTGCGTTGCTCGCTCCAAGGCGCTGGGAGCACAGCCTTCAGCTCGCACAGCAGCTCGGTGACGTCGGCACGGCGGGTGGCCAACACGCGGAGCGCGTCCTCGGCTCAACCAGGAGAACAAACACACCAAACCGCCTCCACCATCCTCCACCCAAAGGTGGGTGGAAGTGAAGAATCATGAAATGCTGAAGCCTTCTGAAGCCCCACCTGACGTGCAAGGTGCAGCATTGTAGCTTGTTTTGCACTTAGCAGCTCTACTTTTCTTGCAACATCATGACGACCACAATTCTCTGCCCGCCTTTTGGCCACGGAAGACTTAAGGAAGGAAAAGAAAAGCAAGCGTCGCAAACTTATAAACTGGCATGGGCAACATGTTCTGAGAGAAACCAAAAATAAACGACCGCGGTGCACCCCTCTTCGTTCGACGGATGGACGCCTTCCCATACAATTCTGAGAGACCCCTGCTCAGGAGTGTGTGTGACCCAGTCCTTCCTCCAAAAAGCCATTCAATGGAAAACAATAGATTTCGAACATGCATTAATACTTCCCCGATTGGATAGAGTGGCAAACATCACCAATTGACACCCGATCACAAAGGAGCTCTTTTTTGACAAAATCCTGATATTTATCAACCATACTGTACATCAAGAACGAAGGAAAAGCAATTGACATCAAAGTTCTTCTACCCCCAAAGCTCCCACACCAAATTGACTGAGTAAAGCCAGGTGACCAGCCCACGTTCTTGCAATTGAGGATCCTGCGGATCGACCGTCGATCCGTGAAAGACCAAGCCGCAGATTGGAGAATTCGCCCATGAAAGACCAGCAATATATATATATATTTATACAGTATATATCTAAATACATATGTGCATATGTACTTGAGTCGGAGTTTTCGGAGCAGCTGTGTATAGGGGTTCATGATCGAACAACCTCACGATATATTACAAACACGCGGTATACGTGTCACGTCACCGACCGTGTCCAAGTGCCGGGATTCCGATCACCAAGGTATCCGGTGGCCGGTGGCGCGACGCCATGCCATCGCGGATGGCCAGCTTCATAAAGCTTCATTCGGAACCCATCAGGTCATTCGCATATTGAACTCAACCATCTCCGACCATCTGCTTCATGAACTCAGGGTGTGTTACGTAATTGTGTGTCACGTGGGTGTACGGTCCCACGCGGTGGCCGGGCGTCCTCGGGGAAATCTTGCAAGGCACGGAGCAGAATGGGAACTGCTTCGAGGCTCACCTCGGCCAGTCGTCGTCGTCTTAAACATCCCAAAAGTCAGTCTTTTGCCCATCAGGTCTAAAGAAACAGTAACCAAACAATACCAAACAATATCAAAAGTCACTTAACAATTTTTTTCACCAATGTAACAAACAATACTGCATCATACTGGATTCTCTCTCGTGGATGCGGGATGTGTGGAGTGTGCGGAATGGATTGTCTGGTCATTGAATATAGTGATCAAGATTGATTTGTTTCCTTGTATACGTATTTGTTCAATACAGGAAATCCTGGCAACAACCACTTTCATACTCTATGCCCAGCTATATAATTATATTTGTTTATCTTTTGAATAGAGCTACGGACGGCGTCTTCGAAGGAACAATCTTCTTCAACAAATCTTACTCGAGAGCCTGTCATCTCCTCAACACCGGTCCTCTGTGCATGCCACGTCGCCAGGCGCTCCACTGCGACGTCTTCCCCTTCAAGGCTGCAGGAGAGCCGTAGCAAGGCATGCAGCGCCAGAACCGAGGCACGCTGCACCTGTGAAACTGACAAGGTTTTGGGAGGAGAACTTCCTGTGACATTCATCCGATGAACACCACCTGATTCATCCGATGTTCCTCATTGTCTCGGATTTTCTCGGATTGTAGATGGGATGGACTTGATCTGTTCGTCGCACCACTTCTGTCCCGCCATCGACTTGATCCCGTTCCTCCGCGCACTTCTCATGGCTCCGCATGGCGTCCATCGTGGCCGCTGTGCTGCGCGCCAAGCGCTGCTCCAAGGCCGCCACCCGGCGGCCGGGTGGAGCCGCGTGCGCGGCACGCGCCGCGGTGGCCGTCATGGCATAGCGCCGCAAAGCGCCACAGCTGGTGACTTGAAGGGCGGCACACAAGGGCAACGCCTCACGTGTTCGCAGGTTTCACGCGGTGGGGAGTCAGTTGAAACTGAAACTATGAAATGGTCCCGTTGGGAAAAAGGAAACCGGCACCCAAGAAGGTTTCATCAGGTCTCAACAGGGGGGACTTGATGTTCCTAGAAGGGGCAATGTAGTGATCAAACCAATCCTCACCAAGGAGGTCTGTTTGGAGATCCACGGTGCGAACCACCCAAGTCTCGGTCCCCCTCGCCCCATGGCTCCACAGCTCGGCCGCGCTCCACGATGCGCCGATGCGCCTGCATGGCCTCCAAGAGCAGCTCTGGGGAGCACACCTCTGCAAGTGCAGTCGCCATGAGTCCAGAAGCTGAACAAAACCATCTGGGTTGGATGGTCTGGTGAGACCCACCTCTGCCAACATATATATATATATCATTATAAACCAGCGAACTTGAGGTATTGAGGTATTGGTCTTCTTTCCCGTGAAATGACATATGCCTGTTGTAGTTGGGCTTGGCCTCTTGGCCTCTCCCACAGGATCTGCACCTTCATCTGTCATGTGGTGGACGTGTCGACAAGGTATTACCACAGCAAGCAAACATAATAGTCGACAGCACAGAACATCTCTTCCCGCGATCCGAAGATGACTGAGCTTCGCATCTGACCATGCCACCATGTCCAGTGCAAAACCCCATTAGAACTGCTGGAGGTGCGCACCACAAACACAGTGTAGTTCTCATGGTTGCTGCGTCTCTCAGTTTGTTTTTCTCAGAAGTGCCTGGACACAAATATGGTCATCCAGCAAAGTCCCCCGTTGCATTGTTCAAACGCAATTCCTTTCATTTATGGCAGGGGACAAAAAATTGGCATAAGTCAAAAGCTTCGAACCTTCAGTAGAAGCATCACTTAAACAAGAGAGACGCAGTTTAAAAAAATAAAAACACATGTTGCTGTCAACACAGTGAAAAAGAACAAGAGATACGCAGTAAAAACACCAAAACCACATTCTTGCTGTCCAAAGCTGCCAATACCTGCCTCCCCTCCAAAGGGACTGTCTGTGCCCCTCAGTCGCCTCCATGGCCCTCACGTGACAGGGCTGCTCAAGGCGCCCCACGAAGGCCGCCGGCAGCCAAAGCTCAAAGAGCAGCTCGTCCCGGAGCTCCACCTTCGGTGGGTTTCCACGATGGAGGACACGTGAAGTCACTGGCTGAGAAAAGAATGTGAAGTAGTCTGTTCCCTCTGGACATGGCCTGGACATGCTTGGGAAACACACACACACACACACACACGTGTGTCAAAGAATCGCACGACTTGCACATTACCCACATCCGGAACATATCATATCGCATGCAACGAAGTAAACATATTCAGTGTCGAAAGAAAGGCAGCACGAAGGAAAAACACACTATATAAAAAATATTCTTGCATATATATGCATATACATCTTAACATATATACATATATATATACATGCAATATTTATTTATATGAATATATTAATATCGTAAATTATAATAGTATTAATTATATGTATTATATGATTTGTATACTTTGTTTTTTTGTTGTATGTGTGTGTGGATCGGTCAAAGCACCTGGATCACTTGCGTTTCGATCCATGTACTCAGAGCATCTTGAGTCACTTTAATTCAATCCGGTCTCGAAGACAATAGGCCCCTTGAAGACCGGCTGACATTGTCCGAGGGAGAGTAAGTGAATGGAGGGCACTGAGACTGTGATGAACACATCACATGGAAGTCGAACCTCCCCTGTTTGCAAAAGAAACAAGCAAGCAAGCAAGCAAGTAAGTAAGTAAGCGAGGTTTGAAAATGCTGCCTAACCAAGAAACCCAAGTCCAAGAAGCTCAGCTGAAGAATCAGCAGCCCATCGTCCACATGGCGATGCAAAAATCAAATTCATGCACAGCAAAAGAGGATTGGTCCGGGGTGCAAATGCCCCACTAAGTAGACAAGTGAAAGGAGTGTGGTCTAGAGCATGCAAGTGCGATGCCATCCTCTAACCCATTGTTGTCAGATTATGTCTTTCCTCGACCGGTGTGCCCCCCTGAGACACACATATGCTCACTCACCGAGCCTCGGGATCCTCCTCCAGTGCCAGGTGATCTTTCAGCGCCTCCAGCAACAAGGTCTCCAGCGCCTCTCCGCCTGGGGCAACGAGTTCTAAGCAACGAGAGTTGGAGGCCAAGCAGTGCTGGAGGCCGACGACGTAGCAAACACCGGCAGCAAACTCGGTGGGGGCCAAAAGCCAAGCACCGCCAGCCGAGCTGGGGACACTCCAAAAACAAGCAAAAAAAATGGTTTCCCGAAGTCCAAATAGTGATTGAATTTTTCTAGAGTGGGTGGGGGGAAAGCATGCGAGGTGACATGGATGTCCATTCCACCTACTAGTAGGTTGAAGAGGTGAAATGGCCCAAGCGCACCCATGATATAAAGTATCCCTTTCCCCCATTCCTCCGACACAGACATGTCCCGTCGTGTCGACATGTCCCGTCCTTCCAGAAAGGTATCTTTGACCTTCGGCATGCGGTTCGCCAGGAAGCACAACAAGAAACACGCGCGCCTTGGTGAAAGTTTTCTTGGTCGATAGTCCGTGAGATTCCCGGCCAAAGCAAAGATCGCAGTGAAACAAACACAAAGACATAAACGTAGAGTTTGGGTGTTTCCTATTGCTATAAGTAACCATGGATGATGATGGTGAAAGCAAAGGCCTTTCTCTAAAATAGTGATCATTGTTCACCAACTGCTACAGGTAGTGGGACAACTCAATATAGTCATAGAGCTCTGTTCCACTAGTGTCATAGAAGGGCACTGTTTCGCTTCAGGTCGAGATAAATAGTAAGTCTGATCAAAGTATATAAGTTTATGATACAGGTGGATATCCAAGCCTCACACGAAAGCCGCATGACATGGCATGGTGTGTTTTTTTAACATTGCAATTCCCAAACCTCAACGAAACATGGTCGGCGCTCTTTGTTGTTTCATCGAAACGGGTTCCTTCAAAGAGAGAGCATCACTGGGCTCTTGGGCCGCCAAGGGTCTCACGCACTTCCAAGGCCCACTGGGTACCCAAGGCCCGAAGCAGCAACGCCAACACCTTGGATGGATGTGTAGTGTTTTTCTGTTCTTTTTCTGTGCATCACTCTGGTCCAATGCGGGGTGACCAATGAGGAGCCTGGAGTGCCTCACTATCTTCGGCAGGTGTTAAGCAAAAATGAGACAAATTTGACTTGCATGTCCCCGGAACTGTTCCCGGAATCTTGATGTTGGCAGTCTCACGCGGAGCCACTAAATCTAGGGTGAAGTAAAACGGTGATTTTGTTGGCCAATCAGCCCAGGTGAGAATCACTCTGAGGGCCGTCGAAAGCAACACCTACATATAGCAAAATCATATCTCCAAATATCCTCAGTGCCTTTGAGGCTGGGAGCTTCACTTATCGAAATGGTCGTTTTTTTTAAAGCACCTGCTTAAGTTACTGTAATGCAATTGAATCGATTCAATGTATCATTTGATCATATCTCATCTATCTGATTAGCGATGTTCATCCTCTGAACAAACACAGCTCCGGCTAAATCGGGTGGCACCGGATGGCACCGGTGCCACCTCCATTGCACTGACTAGGTGGTTGCGGACAATATTATAATCGAATCGACATATTAAACTACTACACTATATCATACTATATCCAAGTCAGAGAACATGCCTAGAAACCACGACTAGCCCACCGCCCAGCCCAAAATTTATAATAGATTAATCCTGAAGGTCCCTAGCCGCATGAACACCAGCTCTGAACCGTTCCCAATACCCAAAGGAAAACAAACCAAAAACACCGGATCCACTGATACACCGGCACCTCATCAGCTCCATAACACTCCTGCAGCTCCTGAAGCTCGATGCAATCCACCAGGTTTTGGAAGCCTAAGGCTTCATGACGCGGGGACACGGAGAGTCCAAATGAGGAGAAGACAGCTTGAGACCAGATTTCCAAGTTTTTTTTGTTTCGCCTGGTTCGCCCTAAATAGGTTTAGGTCCAAGTGTCTGAAAGCTGTTGAAAGACAACATGTACACTGTCATGGGGCAGGAACACGTTTCTAACCTACAGTATATAATTCCGTCTCTTTTTTGGCCTTCCCCAGCTCTCCTGCGATCAACGCCATTTGATCACTGGAAAGGAATCAAGACAGCGCATCCCAAAGCTGGGAAGGGTAAGTTCCAAGTGCTTCTGCTCCCAACAGCTGTATAGCCAACCCTGAATGGAACAATAACTTACTGTACTCCAATCAGGTCTAATGAGCAACAGCTGTAGAAATCATTTTATATTCGCGACCACCAGGAGCTCCTCCCTGAAAGCGAGTAGCACATCATCAAGATTGTCTCCAATCTACCCCTGCGAGGCTGCGCGGTACTCTGCAGAACCCCTTCAGTCAGCACAAAAGCAACTCTTCTAAGCAAGATCCAACAACAAACCTTGTGAAAAGAACACAGTGATCTGTTCCTGGTCCATCGCAGCCATATTAAAGCCGATGCATTCAACAGGTCCTAGCTCGGTACTCTCACACGACAGCTATAGTGAGCTCCAAGAAAGCACTAAACCCAACAGGTGGTGGTATAGAATCCCCATCTATCTCCATCTACATCGATACCCTATATATAGTCACTAAATACAGTCACCATATATATGGTCACACAAATTCATTACGAATCACTAGAATGACCAGCTGCTAACCTCCCCAAAAGAAAAGAAAAGAAACTAGAACGCCTGCTTCTAAGCCGCCTCACGGAAAAAAACGGAGGCCAACGACACCCGCCTCTGCGCCTCCGCCGGGCCGACGGCCCTCCGCAGCTCGGAGGCCAGCTGGAGCCGGACGGCCGTGTGGCGCCGCAGCTGGGCGTCGGAGGTGGAGCCACAAAGGAGGTTCTGAAGGGCCAAGAAGCCTCGGAAGTCCGGAACGAAGGATGGTTCTTTGGGTTGGTGGATGTTGGTTGTTTGTTCTGATTCTCCTTTTCTATCCGTTTCTCCATCCGGTTTAAGTTTCTTCTGATTCTCCTTTTCTATCCGTTTCTCCATCCAATGGTTTAAGTTTATTCTGATTCTCCTTTTCTCCATGCAATGGTTTAAACGAGATCAAAATCAATGTGGTGAGAAAGGAGAAACCAAATTGGGGGGTATGGTCTTCTGTGTCATGTCCTTTCCACGAGAAACGGAGCCCATGGGGAAGCCGTTGGCGCTTGCGGCGCTTGTTTGTTTGGGGTCGAATCGTCCAGCTGAAGTCATAGAACCCCCACCGACGGTGACGGGATGAAAGTTGCATGGAACCTAGCCGGACCATGTTGATGCCCAAACACTCCATGTGTGCCATATATGCCGATCAGTTGGGGTGGTTTTGGGGGTCAATGTAGGCATATATGGCATACATGGAGTGTGTGGGGATTGTAAAACCTCTTCTATCACACTCGCTCTGAATCCGCCCAACGACCTCCCCACCGCAGGTGGGATGGGTCGAAACGCCACTGCGGCCCGTGTGGACTCTCCGGTCACACCAGCAGCAAAATTGTAAAACCTCTTGATTTATATGGGGGGGTTGATGAATCAAGAGTCAGAGTCTACGTTAAAGGGAACACTGCCCAAGTTGAAAGATTCCCGCGGGTCTGAGAATTTCACGAAGATCTTCAGGAGCCTTTTGGAATTCGGCAGTGGACACAAGTTCTGGCCTACAAAATCCACAAAAAATGATACAAAAGGACCAGAACCATGGACTGTCTAAGTCTAGGCCCCGCAAACGTTTGCACGAACGACTTGATGCCCCCCCCCACGTTCTAGACGAAACCTCCCAAACCCATGGACTGTCTCACCTATGATGAGCTGATGGTGGGTGAGGCCGCTTCGTTTTCTGCCTCGGACGTCCAGCCTCAGTGCTGAGTCCAGATCGTCACCAAGCAGCCCCATGATTGCAGTTCTACATCATCGCTTGCCTGACCACGCATTTGGAATGCGTGGAAAGATTCTCAAATGGTCAGTTACAAGGGACTCCCCCAAGTCCTGAATGTACTGCTTGCATTGCGACCGGATATGCTTGGATGCTTTCAGTCATCGTTCTGGCCCCAGTGGACTCGACATCCCTCAGTGTTCGACCGGATGACACCGCGTTTCGGGCGTCAAACACACGTGGCTTGGGAGGTTGGCACGGACCTGGTCACCTTTCAGGAGCTTGCTGGAGTGACAAGGTCACACACCCCAGGTGAGAGAATCAGGTTGGGTCACGAGAGTGATGGGATTGACCAACGCATTTGAGATGCACGCTATGCACACTCTGAGGTGGCAAGCCCCCGCACCTTTCAGCGGCTCCTTCCAGCTGTTGTGGAATGTCTCACAGATTTCTGCAGGACCTCGCCTCAATCTGCTTCATGAGCCTCTCTAGCTCCACGGACGCCTGCGCTGCAGCAGCCTCCCCATCGCAGGCCAAGCGGCCAAGCAGAGCGCAGCCGCCTGGGCACAGTGCATGGCTGAAGATGGAAGGATAGCAAATGCCATCTGCTGATGTGGAGTCAGGGATGCTGAATAGTCGGATTCCTTAATTCAGGACGGCCCAGGAACAGAATGGAACCAAGGAACGATTGCATGCCATATTTAAGTGTTTGCTGGCTGTCTGCTCTGAACAGACTTGGAATTTGAACAACTGAGCCTGAAGACAAACATCGACACGTCCTCGGTGTTTCGTTCTAGCATCGAGGCGCAAACACACAGGGAGATGGGCGTCGGCGTCCTCGCCGCGCCCTCATCATCCTCATCGCCGCGACAGCAGGACGGCAAGAAGCGATCTGCTCTACTCCCAAACAAGCTGTGCCTTGATTTCATCATTTCATCTTCCAAAGACATCTGGAACCAGAACCGGGCATTGCAAAATGATGTTGACACCTTTTGACCAATACCTAAAGCTGGAGTCATCCTAGCCTGTTGATCGAGGATTCCTTCATCACCTGCTAAAACAAAAACACCGACCCACAACACCCCAAGACCCCAAACAAAGGAAAAGCAGCAGCAGCAGCAGCAGCAGAAATTACCCACTTCGGATGCCATCAATGGTCAATGGTGTAAAACATAATATGATATTATTGAAACAAGTCTAAACTGCCAGCTACCAAAAACTACCGTCTCTGTCCCCAAAGCATCCAAAGCGACCAATTTCATCATCCAAAAGGCCCAACTCTTTTTGTTTTTCTCGAATGCACCCCTCCGCCGTGCCTCGGCCGTTGAGAGGGCCTCTTGCAGCTTCCGCCACAGCTCGCCCACCCGCCGCAGTGCCGGGCGCAGCGAGCGCCGCTGTGCCAAACGCTCCATCAGCTGCAAGCTGAGCAAGGGCGGCGCAGCGGCCTGGCGAAGCGGTTTTGCAAGTCACGGGCATCTCCGCTGTCAAGACTTACAGGTAGTTAGCTGTGTAAGGCTCTGTTCCGAACCGTGACCGAGGCTGCTGGTGCTTGAAGCTGCTTTGTCAACCTGGAGGGTTGGCAACTGTCAGGGACGTGTTTTGGTGCTCTGGTACTCAGGTCCTTGCGCCCTGCTGCGTTCCCCCCTTTGGTTGCCTTCTTCACCACAGCAACTGCCACATGCATGTGCGGGCTTTTTGGGCCGAAGGAGCTTTGCTTTTTGCTTCCTTCTTGCTCAGCTCCCATTGAGCCAGAGCTGGAGTGCCGGAAATTTTCTGAAGGCGAAGATCACCCTGTCCAACTTGCGTGATCTCTCCACTGCGTGCCTTGACAGTCAGGCATGCTGCATGGTTACTCCAACCGGGTCCACCGCCTTCGTTACAGATGAGTCACTCGTCGGGAGACCGGATGATCCCATCCGCACTGCGGTCGACATGTCGTGATGGGATCCGCACTGCGGTCGTGGGATCATCCAGTGCCGAGTGCCGAGGAGGACCCCGCCGCCAACTGAGCGACCTTCCAGACTGCGAACACCTCCTCCGTGCGCCATGGAGATGTAGGGATCAGCAGCTACGATGAAAGCAGAGTCATTGCCGGAGGGAGAACCGGATACATGTCTCATGTATCATGTCTAACTTGAAAAACACTTACACACGCACACGCACATATATATATATATATATATATTACATTTATTATGTAATATTAAATAGAGTCTTTGAAATCCCTGGGGACTTGAGTCAAGTGGAGGTACTGGTGTAGCAGTGTAGCACCGCTTCCAGCCTCTGCGGCCGGCTGCGCCCCGTTGGCGGCCAGAACCCTGAACAACGCCGCGTTCCGCGTCGCGCCGGGCCCCCCCAAGTAACTGCATGCCGCAGGGACCAACTGAAAAAGGGGCTTCCCATCATGGGCAACAACTCAAAACATGTATACTGTATCTCTCCAGGTGACATGTGGCAAAAGCACCAGGAAGTAACATGTCTTCCAAAATTAGGACAATGGGTGAAAAGGGAGGAACACACATTCCACTGACTGGCCAGCATGAACCAGCTTGACCTGGACTTTTGGACCTGCTTTTAGTTCCTTGAATGGACAGTTTCAGCGATGTCCCTAGCCAAATGCTTCAAGAGTGAGGTTCGGGGCCACCCCTGCAACAAGCATTGAAATCGGTGCCCACTCAACCCATGGCACCCCTTCCACACAGCTCCTGGTGGCCACGTCGTCACTTCGTTTTGCCAGATGTAAAAGGAAGGTCCTGCGGCAAATGCACAAGGGTTTACAGTAATTTTCAGAAAACATATCCAACTTCAAGCAGCCCGCGGGTTGATAGAAGTCGGAGCAACTCTGGGTTCATCTAATCATATCTAATCTGATCTTACTTAATCTTATACATTACAATTTGTTTATCAATTTTTGTACACATTATATATTACAGCATGTTTTCCACTCTCTCACCAGTGTTTGGTCGGGTCATCTTGGCCCTCTTTCAGGCTCCGAATGCCCAGCCGGAACTCCTTGTGCTGAGGCTCGGAGCTTCATCAAGGAGGTCCAGCAAGGTGCAAGCAATGCCTTGGTTGACCATCACACGGTCGGCCTGGTGTACAATGAATCAGCCAGCACGACGGAAAGGGTTGTTATTGGAGGGAAAAAATCATAGTCAGGGGTGTCTATAAACCCGCCCTTCGGTGGTGCTGGAGGATATCGAAAAAGCTTGCAACGGGTGCAGCTGCAGTAATCACAAAAGCACGACCGCTGTCCCATGTTTCTCCTCAGTTTTGGGATGCTGCACCTACCACTAAGAGGCTAAGTATACCACAACTCCTTCAGGTTGGGAGGCGGATCCGCTCCGCTTAATCGAAAGGAGAAGCGGCGCGAAAGCTACCAGCCAGGGGGCCGTCGATTCAATGGAGCTCTCCCAGGATGAAAACAACATGCCGATGAATATGGATGAACATTCTAAATGGCCTCCAACCTAATAGCGATATAGAAACATGTTTCTTTTTTTCTCAAAAATAAAAATACCATCAGTTAATATAACGACAACTAAACTCAAGGAAACACAGCAACACAACACCAGAGGACTACCGGGAGCAAAGCCTTCTTCAAGTAGCTGAGGTAGGATATTTTTTACCAAACAAGAAAAATGCAGCCTTCAATTCATTGATACTGGTAGGTTGGGTACCTCATCTAGTTTTCTATGTGAAAAAAGAACATATAAAACATGCAACTAAAAATCATTCACGCATCAAAGCGATACGACACAAGATTAACTAGCACAGCCTGTACATGTACCACCTTAGGCCTCCAGACCAACCTAGTAGCGATGGCCTCCAACCTAATGGCGATGGCCTCCAACCTAATAGCGATGGCCTCCAACCTAATCTCGAAGATCTCCTAGGATGATCTCAAAAGGTTGCGTGGACTATTCATGTCTTGATCACTCCGCTGTTGCCCAGGTCAACCGATTTCAGGGTGACCAGTGACCAGGGCCATGTGTGGGGGAACAAACTAACATTTAGGGGGACAAAACGCGCAGGAATGGTTGCTTCTTGAAGATGTTCATCATATGTCATCATCCTCATGCACCGTCAGCACTCAAAACAAAATTAATTACCAAAGCAGTTCACTTGAAGGCCAGGAACATGCCCCTTTAAACACACACACACACACACAAAAAAAAAAAAACACATAAACCCCCATAAACATAACATATTTTAACCACGCCACATCGACAGAAGGTGCTTTTGCCCCACACTCCACTAGTGCCCAGATCCGCTCCGCCCCGCCCGATCCGATCCGCGTACTCCGCGTTTCGCAGTCCAGCGTCGGTCCATGGGCTCGGAGACCTCGCCCTCCAGCAGTCGCCAAAGCAAACGGCAAGCGATCTCCACCAGGGTGGCGTCCTGGCTCGACCGACCAAGGGCGGGAGGCGGTGGACGGTGAAGGAGGAAGGTGTGGATTGGAGAAGCAGATCGATCTGAGGCAAGCCGGTGTTTTGGATGTTCACTGACCTCATGTTTGTCAACATCAACAGTTGAGGCCTCAAAGAGATATGAACTTAGTGAGATCATGCGAGAGATTGTGAGATCTATCCAAACTCTATCCATTGGCGTCATATTTTGTCAAAGTGTTTGACACAAATGGCCAGTTGGGAAAAGGAATCTGCACCCTACAACTCCACCCGAGTCAAGGAATTGCGAAGCAACATAACGATTCAATTGGTATTCGTTTCGAACACACCTGTGCAGTCACTGAGATCTCATACCTGAAGCATGTCTCCAATGCGACATTGACGTCTTGTGTTTGAAATATGGAGCTAGCTAGTGATGAGCATTGGGCCAGAGAGATCCCAGTGGTGAGCTCCTTTGTTGGCCAAGTTTGGAGCAATCTCAGTTTCTTTCCGCCCTCAATCCGAAGTCATGACTGAAGTCATGTACAAGTAATGTACTGTGTCCATTAATGGATGCACCTTACTGGAAGTCCAGCATTCATGTACTGAAGTCCAGCTTTCGATATGGGATCCCATTTTAGCACCGTCCAACCCGACGAACCCGTTTTCAAACACCACCCCCGCACCGTCGGTTTTCACCGAACCCGTAAAACCACCCAAATCACCGGATGCCGGAGCCCATCCAAGGCCCCCCCCCAAAAAAGAAGAATTCTGGGAAAAAGAAGCTAATGGGAAAGAATCACCTGAACTTGTGTTTACTGCAAGGAAGTGAAGAAACGGGAAATGGACCGGTAGCGGAAAGAATCCACGCGACAGAACAAAAATGGACCGAAACCTCCAGGGAATGGACCTTCCACTGGACCTTACGCTCCCCCCCACCTCCGCATGCCGTTTCAAGGCGGCCACCGCCAACTCCGCAGCCCGCGGCCGTGCCAGCGTCCAGCGTGCGTGTTGAGCGAAGGAGGACAAAAGATCCAACGCGCGAGTCCTTGGGGCAGCTCGCTCGCTCTAGCAGGGTGCTGCGCTGAAATGGTTAAAACATGTACCAAAACAATGCTTTAAACATCGATGCATGTCATGAACATCGATGGACAAATGTACAAGTGGATGTACAGCATGTGGATTGTCAGAGCAATCTAGGTTTAGTTCCATCTTATACTATTTTCTTTGGCCTTCGATTTCCGATGAACAATCATAAAACAAAACTGAAATATATTGCGTATATTATATATAATATACAGTCATATACACTCACTCAATCTCCGTCTTTCCACCAACCAGCTGTCTGCCCCAGCCGGACTAGCCAGGAATAAGCACTCGTATATCTGTTTTGTGATTCTTCCCGCGTGCCTTTCTTGGGTTCCGTGCAATATCATTCTAGGATGTTTCTGCTGTCATTGTCATTTATGTTCTGTGAGCCCTCGTCACCCAACTTTGTTCGAGCATATGACTGAATAGTGGACTGGTTACAAAAGAGGTACCCCCATTGACACATGCCCACATGTGACATTTGCCTGCAGTGTCCAACGAAGGAGGATAGGTTTGATCATAGAATCGATGGCTTGGTTGAGAAGCCATGTTTGGCATTTTCCCTCGCTGACGCGTGACAGGACTTGCAGTAAAGCCTCCTGGTTGCCCTACAGTACCTATACCTGAATTTGGGAAAGCATACAAATTGGTTGACTCCAACGATTTCCTGGCTCAATTGGTGATTCCTTCACCGTGTCGTCCTTCTGCGCAGGCCGTTGTTTGTAGGCCGCTGCGACAGCTGGATGAAATGAACAACTGAACATATTGAACTTGAACGGCATAGCAACACAGCGCCTGCCATACATTTGTCCCTATGCCATCATAAATATCAGTGTGGTAGATGCGGCTTTGGTGATTTATGCGGGTTTCAATGGTCTGTATCTCTACCTGAGGGGTCCAATATGGTCTAATGAGACTTCCCTTCGCGAGAAAAACATGATCTCTTTCTATCCCACCCCAATGGACAGTAGTATCATCCCACCCCCATATGGACCCTGAACACCCCCATATGGATCTATCCCACCGCCCCTATGGACTCCCCATGCTGCTGAATTCAGCTTGGTCTAAGGTCTTCCAAGTGGCTGCGCTGCCTGGAAGTGCGGTTGCGCCTCCAGGGACAGCAGCAAGGCCTCGACCGTCACATCTTCCAACTGCTCCAACTCACCTTCGTTCACCTGGCGGCTTTCGGCCGGGCGCCTCCAGGCGGCCGGCAAAAGCAATGGGAAACGAAAACGGGCGGAACCAAATGGGCGGAACCGGGGGATTAGCTGATTCGCTGAGACACTGGACGCTTCGATGATCTAGCTGCTACCCTCACCTGACCAAAGCCCAGAAAAATGGCCACCAATTCCCGGACTGCAGGAGTTTAACGTCCCCAATTTAAGTTGCTATCTATCAACCATCCAGTTTTACATGCTACTACTAGAGTCGAGTACAGTGCGGGGTTCCCCCAAAGTAGTACACATGCACAAAGAACTAACCAACCATCAAAAAAGCTTCTACCACGCAGCTTGCCTGATCCAGCGCCAAGCACTGCAGCGTGGCGCAGCCTGAATCCTGACAGGTGCAGAAACTTGGTCAAGAAATGCAAGGTTTCAACCCGTTCCCGTGTTGTTCTAGGTCTACAGTACTACAGCCTGAAGTAGATCACACGCTAAGCCGCTAAGGCATGGCCAGTTTCTCGGATTGGGAAAGGCCAACTGCAGTGAGAGGCGCTGCATCCACTTTGGAAGGCTCGAGTTTCAACAAGCTCTTACACTCGCGGGAGCGGACATCCACCTATTTGTACGTATATAGAGGAACATGGTCATCCACGGCCAGCGAATGCAATGGATTCAATGAGTTTGTAACCGTCTCAAACTTCTGCATCTTAGAACGCAATGTTCACACATCCAATCGCCGCGAACCCAACTGTCTTCAGCTCCTGCATTTCTGGCACCTCAATTTGGGCTGGGGTGCGGTCGGACCTGTCTGCATGCACATCAGTCGTTTCATCGAGGAACTCCTAGCACGAAACAATTTCACCAAACCTCCACCCTCGAAGGCCTGGAGTAAAACCTGCGCACAAAAAGTTGAGAGAAAACATCCCAGCACATTGTACAGTAGTTCTCGACCAGTGGCTGGGAGGTTCTTCTTCATGGCTTCAGCGACCAAACGAGGTGCTTCCAATTGCATCAGCAGCTGCCGGTGTTCCGCTGCATTGGGAGCGTCTGGCAAGCACAACCTGAAACCGATTTCGGGGCACACAATATAAAAATATATATTTACAAACACCCAAATAAATAGAAAAGATTTATCCCCAAGAATGCATTGGAAACGGTGCCACTATCTAGTTAGGGACCACTGTAATGTGAGTTTGCCTCCCCAGTATGTGCCATAGATCCTGATTCTTCTCCGCATGGGGGAAAAAACTCACACGAGCACGTACGGGCAAATGGTGCCAAAGCCTTGGATCTCAAATGGATCGCAACTCAAGATCTTCTGTAAAGTGGGAATCGTCATTCTGGAAACAACCATAGGTCTAGGAAATACCAACCAATGTATATTAAATTAGGTCTCTCCAATATCCCAGGACCTGCGCAAATCGCCTCTTGGGGACGCATAGCTCTCCCAATTTGGGGTAATGCGAAGACCGGCTTAATGAACCCCCCAACGTGGAAGGTCTAGAAGGTCTGAGGTACCATTCATGAGGCCCCCCTGAATAATATGCTAAGGCGGGAGCAGGAGTGGGAGTAGGTGTAGGAGTAGCAGCAGCAGGAGCAGGAGTAGTAGCAGCAGCAGCAGCATCAGGGTAGGGGTAGGAGGAGTAGTAGCAGTAGCAGTAGTAGTAGCAGCAGCAGCAGGAGGAGCAGGAGTAGCAGGAGCACCAGCAGCAGCAGTATTTCAACTGGTTGCGTGGGCTCGGAATGGCTCGGATGAACTGGGTTCTGGTCATTGAACATGCGCAAAACAAACTCTCGCCTGACCTACCTTGTAATCCAGACCAATCCATGTACTCCCATCAGTATCAACATCGGGGTGGCCTTAAAACATGCCTCTAGTGTCAGACAGGTCCAAGAACAGTTGATTCACAAAGGCCACATCCTACCACACCGGCAACCCTTTGGCAATCCTGAAAGGGTCACGACTCCCCAGCACCCGACTCCAACCGGGCCCTAGAGGGCTCTAGCCGCTGCCGCCTCCCCAACCAAGCGACAGGGTCATGATGTCGCACCCAATCCACTGCAAAGGTCCTGCACACAGAGTACAGGACCGATGTCTGGGAGGGACACCCTTCGGTCTGCACCACAACGCACTCATCGGTCTGTGAGTTCGTGCAGGTCTCCTTGGTGCTGCATCATGGCCTGAACCAAGTGCCGCAAGAGCTTTCCCTGCACCTCGTCGAGGCTTTCCGAAGCTCTGAGCAGCATAAGCACTGCCTCGTGGACTGGGAGTCGGGTTGAGGATGGTGTGAGGGTCCATCCAAATCACCATGGCCAGGCTGTAACAAGTCAGCCAAACCAATCCCTACCCACCCAAAAAGGCCGGATGCAGCCTCCCAAGCACGTTCCTGCAGCATCCGCTGGTCTGGGTGTGCCATTTGCGCTTTCAACAAGAGCTTGACCACTGCTCCTGCCAGTGACTGCGGCCATGAGACCAGTGGAAGTGCTTGGAAGATTCATTGCAGGCCGATGTTTGCTCTACTGTACAGATTGCCGCGCCATCCAACATCAATCTGATGCAAGCAAAACCTTCTTGGGGGTCATGAATCAAAACCCAAACGCTTAACCTCACAAAATCCATGCAAAAGTCGAACAAAACTGGACCCACCAGCAACCCAAGGCCACTCCAACCATCGATCCCATTGCGCACCTGGCGACTCCACCGCCTCCGCCCCCGTGACGCACAGCACGCCGCCGGCCGCGGCGAGCGTTTGGGCCGAGGCTGTCGGCACACGAAGGGCCGCGGTGGCACTGCGAGCGCACTCCACGGAGGAGGCGCTGGGTTCCTGGTGGATGCGCTGAACATATAGATGGCATATTTGCCTGTCTTGTTCCTAGTAGTAAGGCCAGGAGCGCCTAGTAGCGTCCTTGCTCCTAGAGATAGATAGATAGATAGATAGATAGATAGATAGAGAGAGAGATAGACAGACAAACAGATAGACAAATAGATAGTGTGTGGGAATTGTGGATGGTTGAGGTCACATGGTCGCACATCCAAGGCAAATCAGGTCACAGGCCTTGGCGAGGTAGCCCCAAAGCAGGGTCAATCCGGGCTCCAGGATGGAATTGCTCTCCTCAGGATGCGGGACACGTGACAGGGAACTGCCGGATGTCCATTATACTTCTGTTCTACATATATAGTTACACAGAACATATACATACAAATACAAATTTCTGTATATATATATATATGTTATATGTTTCATGAGTTCTTACTAAAAACAATTTTCTTCTCTTGTTCTTCTTCTTGTTGAGCCTCAAAGCAGGCCCAGTTAGAACTGGAGCATGCAACGACCAATCTTCATGAGGATGCGACCTACCATCTTCGGACACATGCGGTTGCAATTCAGCGAGGAGGTCCAAGAGCAACCCACCAGCAGCTCAAAGAGTGATGACTTGCAAATCTATTGAACGCCTATCTTCTCCTTGCCCAATTGTGCCGCCAAGCTGCTGGGCATCGTTGGAGTGTGGCAAGCAAAATCTCAGGCTTACCTCACTTCCATCGAAACACTGATTGTCTGATTGTCCCGTCAGTGCCCAAAGGACTCAAAGGACCCAGTGCCCATGGGGAACATGTCGGTCATGTTCATTCAGTCCGAAGCCAGAACTGAGCGCATTCCAACAGGTTTAACATGTTTTACCATGTTTAACCCTATGCCTGCTGTTTGGACACTTGCAATTTAAGGCTTTGAGTGGTCAACATGACATTGATCCATTTTCCATCATGCTCCAATAGATTTCAGGCACGAGCGGCGAGCGGCTTTGGGAATGCACTAGGTTTCATGCAGAATAGTGGCAAATCCCTGGATCTCCAAATCTCGCTTTGTGTGCAGTGGAAGCCAATTACTTCAGGCCAGGCTTTGCGTCTTTGTCCGTGAAAGTCAAGGTGAAGCAGCATGGGTATCAAACCCGGGATCGTGTGGCTGGCAGCCACACCAGAAAACGATGGAACCAAATGCGGCCCCTGGCTCCTGGATAAGTATCACACATGATCGCGAAACTGGACCTACCTAATTGAACGAATACGAAACCGCACAAAAACAAAACCACCCACGACACTGCACCGAGCCGAGCGTCAGCAGCTCGGTGTCTTTGCCGGCACCTCTGCAAAACTCCAGGGCTCGGGCTGCTCAGCCCGCCAGGGCCGGCTGAGCACGCTGAGTGCATGCAGGGCGGCGGACAAAGCACCGAGGCTCGGAAGGTGCACTTGGCAAATGTGGACCAAGACCTGGGACGTTGGCAGGTGGACGACGGATCTGCAGGTGGAGGACGGACGTACCGGAGGACCAACGGGAAAACCCATTGGCAGTGTGAATCAACCGAAATACCACGCAGTGGTTGTCATCCACGCGGCGTGACCAGTGTGAAGTGGTTGCTGTTTTGTTTATCCAAAGGTGTAACGATCTGCACAATGGATTCGGGCAGAGCTTGGTTCCATCCACTGTTCATAACCCAAGTTGGAAATACGTTTAGAACTCTTGTGTTCTGCTTCACTTCCCAATACCTTTCCCAATCTCCATGTCGCGCATTCCGTCCTTTGTAGCGTTCGTGTTGACAAGGGCCGCACGCAAAGAGTTTGACAGCTCTAAAAGACATGTGGGGAGGGGGAGAATCAACGGACTCCGCTGTATTGACCTATCTTTGGTCTGGTATCAAAGTGTCCGTTGACTGGACTGTCCATGGCACGTTTCACATCTGAGGCGGTCAGAACTTCAAATAAATGGCATAAAGAAAGAACTTGGAACATACTACCTACATATATGACCTACTCCCGAAGGTTTTTAAAACAATGTGCAAGTCTGTAAGAAGGTTGGACTTGGGCAATTAATTACTTATAGCTACTTGACACATCACACATGTCATTCCTATGCACATCACTGTAACTCACTGTACCTGCCACATTCGTTGTCATGTCACGTGAACTGGCAACGGCCCCTGCTTAAAACCATCCCCGTCTCAGTTCTCACATAGAGGTCACTACTTGCATAGGCTTGGCAAATCGAAATCTCAGGGGGAGAAGACGTATCTTTGGAGGCCTCGGAGGGAGGCCTCCCTTCTTCAAAAGCAGCTCTGCCTACAACTTCAGTTCAAGTCCCTCAGCCCACCTCAGCGGCGCCCAGCTTCAGTAGCAGGGCCTGCGCTTCTGGGCTGTCCTTGACGAGCAACCGCAGGGCCTGTTGTGGCGACCAAAGCTACCAAATATGCGCAAAAACGCGGGTGACGGTGGCAATGGATCACTCCAGGTTGTTCGGGATAGGATAGTCTTGAAAAGCTCAACCTTGTGCATGCTTGTGAAGTTTTGAATTGTTCCGTGGCAATTGAAGACAGGTTACGTGGTGAGTTTTATCAGTTAGATATTGAAGCATCTTTTGTGGATCAATAATTTATCATGAATACTGTCGAAGGATTGGTGCTTGATTTGTTTGAGAAGTTTAATCACAAGCAATACAAGATTAAACCTAAAATCAAACGGCAATTGACAAACTTCTGCTCCATTTGCAAACTAAATACGCACCTCCCCTTCCGTGGTATTCACAACATGTTTGTTGTGCATCAATCAAGCCTATTCTCAAGCCAAAGCCTCACAATGTCCTTGTCTAATCAGTAGGGAACCTTTAACAAACTGTACACATCATATAATGTATAGTTATATGTATACTTCCGATTAAATCCAATTCCTATGGCATGATCCAACATTCCTGCGCACCATGTTACGGAAAAATAACACATCAAAAGGATAGTGATAAGGTGGTTGATATGGATCATCTCTATAAACTAGCTCTCGCACTATCAACCCGGAAGCCTCTTATACAACAGTACAGTGCCAGCACTCCCCAAGAAATCATTGGTTCATATCGGTTCACACCCTCGTCTTGTTAAACATTGTGAAGCATATTTTCTTACACCGCTTCGACTATATACTAGTTACACCGGATTCTTGGATCGTGCTGACCTTGCAAAGGAGGCTTCTTGATTTGGCTACTCAGCTACTCACCTGGTTCTGAGAGCCTACTCAGCATCCACCACTTTCAAGTCCCACTAACACCCATTCGTACCCTTCTCAGCCAGGCACATTCGCACCCTTCTCCTGGACAGGCTCAGAGCTCGGGTGCTGCCGCATGGCCTCGATCGAGTCGAGACCGGTCCGAAGTGCAACCCCTCCCGTTTGTAAGGGAACATCAGAACATGATCGTTTCATACGGGGATAGGGGGTATGCTCCCAAGTTCCACTTCAAGCCAGTGCTCGACAACTAGATGCCAAACAATCACTGCTTTATCTCGTCTAATTATGTGAAGATGCTTGTCACTCTCAGCATCAGCATCATCTGCCCAAGCCACCCGCTGGTTGGATGAATAGTCCATTGTTCCTCTGCATGAACACGTTCCAAACATCTCCATCCATCTTGTCGTCAACCGCATTCGTGTCGTCTGCACAACATGTAACATGCACAAAATACAGTAATGGGTTCTATTTGACCTGGTGTTTATCAATGAATCAACATATTTAAGTGGTCCATTCATGATCATTCATGTATATTCATGTAGTCATCTGTAGTAGTCCATGTCCATGATTGAAGCTGTAATTCACGAGCGGGAAGTTCATGGTCCTTCTAACTTCAATTCCTTTGTGGAGACCACCAAGCGCGGCCATGATGCTTCCAGCAGCAGCTGCGGCCCACGGCTCTCCACCTAGCCATATGGCTGAAGACGCTTCCGGCTCTTCCGGAAGCGAAGAACGCCCTCTTCACGCGCTTCGCGCGGCGAGAAGTAGGACCCCGGACGACCCAAGCCCCTGGGCCCCTGGATCCACATGCGGTTTTCGAGTCGGTCGGAATGACACACACGACATCGGTGCCAGGCTACAACGACAAAGACCAGCGGTCTAGAAGCGCCATCGACCGCACGAGAAGAACACGCAAAAAAGTGGTGTTCTGCCGACTTTCCCCTCCAAAAAAAACCAAGTGCGATCATGTGCCAGGAAAGAAAGAAACAAAGCATGCACCACTGGGGCGTACTGTTTGTCGTGGGCGCTGTAGACTTTAATCAGGGGTTGCTATGGCTCCACGGTGGGCCCCCTCATTCCCAGCAAAAGTTGGCAAACCTGCATTAGTTTTGTTGCGGGAAACTTATATATTATAAAGAATAGAATGAGATGCATTCTCGGAATTTGTGCTCAGTTTGGCCAAGAGAAACTTCACCGGGTCGGCTGCGCTGCGCTGTGCGTCTTCCAGTTTAACACCGAGTTGCCATGGACTTCCGGTGGGCACCCCTCAAGACGAAAGCACCCAAGGCGCTCACCGCGCACGCTTGCACTTCCACTGCTTTCAAGTGCTCCTGTTTCAACTTATCTGCTGCCCGTCAACATGTTGGGATGTTGCTTGTTATTGATCTCTTAGATGTATGTGTATATATAAATAAATATATTTTAATATAGTTTATATGCTTATCTGCTTTGGATTCATGGAAGTGGTATTCTGGACAGTTGGACGCCCATGAACTTGCAGAACTGACGCATGTAGTCATGTAGATGATAAACGCCTCATATACAAAAGAAAAAGAACATGTCACACTTACAGTATCCTCCATGGCGTTGAAGAGGAGGCCCCGCGTGGTCTTATCAACTGTCGACACCTGCTGCGCGGAACTCTTCAACGCCAGGCGCCCGAGAAAGGCACTGCCCGCAGCCTGCGATGATGCTGGGATCATGGGCCGGGCATGTGATGGTGCCACCATGCCAAATCCACTGCTTACGTTGGAGACAACCACGAAAGTGAGCATTTTCGACTTTGTTTTCACGGGTCACTTTTTGAGCCATTTGGGCTGGCAAACCTTCTGCGGCATATCCCAAAAACAAGAGTCCCAAAGACTCTCAGCGTGCACAGCACTGTGCACAGCATTCGACCAGCAGTTGATCACCTTGAACATCCTTGAACTTGAACTGACCAGGAACCTAAAACTGACCAGGCACTGGGTAGAACCTGAAAGCACTTAAAAGGATGCATTCTTTATAGTGGTCCATGTGAAATGCTCAATTTACCAGGTGTAATTGGTGACTGACAACTTTTGTGGCAGCCCACCTGCACTTGAGCAGCCGAGGCATGCCGCTCCAAGGCCAAAGAGGTGTAGCGAAGGAAGTGGCTCGACCTCAAGTCCGTCCACGCGCAGCCGGGCGAACCGGGCTGCCGGTGGAGCGAAGCGTTGTGTCTCGAAAGGCGTGTTTCGAGATCACTCTAAGATGGGCCAAATCTGGTTCGATGTTCGATGAGGTCTGCAACTGGATGCTGGAAGCGAGTCGGACGTTGTCCTTTCTGACAATGCCTTTGTGAAAGACACCTGCAATAAAGCTCTGAAATCACCTATAGATACTGAGACTCATATAATAATATAATGAAATACGTGTTTAAGGAGAAAAACACTCCAAAGCAACCAAAAACCATTATTGGTAACACCGAATGCATCAAAATACTTCTGGCATATCTTATGAAGGCCATGTTATTTTCAGCAAAACATTTCACATCATCCATGGAGGACTCCAGGACCATTGCAAAAACAGCTCTATGCACGTCAGCAAACTTGTAGGCGCTGAGAGTGTACTGTCCACAAGTCATTGAAACACCTGACATAACCCCACCAAGAACGGCAACTGCTCGGGTGGTTGCCCTTGTGCAAAACATCTAGAAGCCACCAACGTCAAACGATGTCAAACGTCTCCGAGCGGCTGCCACAGCTCTTCCACCATCTTCCTTGAGCTCAGCAAACGCTAGGAGTGGGGGTGAAGCCCAAGCTGAGCACCTCTCTTGAAGACCGGACTGGTGTGTTGATAGCTGGGGATGTCGTGCATCAATGCTTTCCCTTCACTAAACTCGTTGGTTCTACTAGAATAGGCTCGCTCCTTTGATGCTCCTTTGCGGGCAAAGGGCACGCCCCAAAATGAAAACAAACAAGAACAACGTGACATGCTCCCTTGAGCCTTGAGGTCCTCCAGTATAAGTGGAATCCCTTGATCATAGGGTTCAGGTACAGGAAGCACTTACAGAATAAGTGACCCAACGTGAAGGACAACAGCCTCGCAAGGGCCCATACAAAAACAAGTTGCTATTTGGATGTGCACCAAGAGATCTATCTGTATACAATCAAACCTTCAAATCACGTCCAAGTGAAAAACTCCTGGATGAGCTCTATAGTATTTCTACATGTTGCATAAACCCCGACTCGCTCCCACTAGCATCCGCGTCTTTCTGCTTCACGTTGTTATTACTGTAGTGTAGCCCATGGCGCCAAACGAATTGAAACGACCGGACCACCGAACTCGGCATGCCGCAGGTCTGTAGCTACGCCGCTTTCCGCCTCGCGCTCCGCTCGTCCGAGGGGCTCACAGCGGAGGAGCTCACCGAGCGCGGCCAAAGCCCAGCGTTGGACTTCAGGCTCATGCGGGTGCTCCTGACGGGCCAGTCTTGCTGCGGCTGGCAAGCTGGCGCTTGCCAAAGAAGCGTTTTTGGGGGGGGCAGAAAGCGCAGCGCCTGGCGAGATCCTCTGTTGGGGTGCGAAACAGAAGTCCGAGAGATGAAGAAACTACTGTATAGCACCCCAAAAGGGGGGAGATGTCTGATGAATCCTTCAAGGGGATGAATTCAAGTACCTTGTTTGACTCAGTGTAATTACTCCAGGTGTCAGGCTCTGGCAACTGCCAGAACCGGCTGTTCAGCCTTTCTTCTTCCAGAAGCCACCGCCAAGCCTAATGGCCCATGCCTAAGGCGCTTCAAGTATTCAAGGGGACTTAGGCAGTCCACAATAAGAACATCCGAGAGCATCATGACACATTGCACGGCAAAACCTAGCCTGTCAAACCCAAAGGCGCCTCTGAAACAGACTTGTAGTGACAATTCTAGTGCTCTCCCATGCGTCCCATGTCTCCAGCATCAATAACAATAACCAAGATAGGACCACATCTACTACCATGCCATACTACCATGCACCGAACTCCCCCGCCTTCATCGCCAGGAGGGCTGCCTGCAGCCCCTGCGATGGCCGTCGGCCCCAGGCAGCCATGCCCTTCGGCGCTTCGGCCTCAAAGGCTCGCGCAAAGCCACTGAGCGCCGCCAAGCCACACTCCTCGACGCGGCGTGACGCGGTGTGGCGAAACCAAGGGGGCTGCGACCTTCGTGGCGAGCGGGCCAGGGGGGGTGAAACTCCCGATTAGTGCGGTCCACTCCTCTTCTTTCGGTGAAAACCCCAAATGGACCCGAACTGGACTGAAAAGTAAACCTCCTCATGGTCCACAGTCCCAGCAGGACATATCAGGACCAATTGTTTAGAAAAGCAACATTGGGAGCCACAAATGGCCATGACCCTCCAGTGCTTGCCAGCAGCTCCATGTCGGGGTGCCGAACTTGGAGGGTAGGGTACCCAGAACATCCACTCACTGAATGGGTCTAAAAGCCACCCCTGGCCCTTTCGAACTCCTGGCGCATATGTCTTCCTGTGGGGAGGCACTTTGATTCTTGTACAAGTGTATTATACACTTCCTCTATCAGCGAGGCTTTCAAACTTCCGTCAAAAATCATATATTTTCTGAAATAGCCGCACTTGTCTGAATCCGGCTTCCACTAGCTTCCAACTTCCAGAGGTTTGTATCGACAAATCCACTGATACCACTTGGATGACCATAACCTTGCAAGTCAACCTAGAAATTGAGATCACCAAAGCCCAGGTGATCCAATCTTCTATCCGGATCTCAGCTGGCTGATCTCTGCCACTCCTGAACTTGCGCGATGGAGATATGTCGCTGAAGGGCAGTGAGGACCAACCTCGGTGACCAACCACGACGAACACGACCGGTGACACGGACACGACCGGTGACGAGGACGAGCGTGAGGATTATGAGCCAAGCACGCGAGGGACTATAAGGCATAGGGTACAGGGTGCAGTGTGACTTGGAGGGCAGTGGAGGGTAAATTCATGTCAATGGGAGGCTCTAAGTCTTCAAATGTCAAATTTACAAGAATGATGAAGCCGGACAGTTTGCAAAGTTGAAAGCAGTTGAAGAGCCGGGCAACAAAAAAAAAAACATCAATCATATTCAACAATGAAACTGTAATCGACAACCACATGCTGCTCAGCCCACATCATGGCAAAGAATACTGTAGCCACTGGTAGCCAGAAAGGGCGACGTGTCTTTATTTATATATAGTCATCCTTTCGCTCATGAACCACTCCCAACATCTTCCAACTGCTGGCTGATGCCCTTTCACGGCCGCAAGTTGGGTTTTAAAATCAAGCCATGAGACTCCAGCGCGCCGGCCTCCAAGGCTTTGTCGCGAAACTCCACGCTACCCTCCTGCAAGTACGTCAAGAGTCACAAATGTCACAGAAACTCCAGGAAATTTTGGGAGCACCTCAGGCACGTTTGGCTCAAAAAACGGCATCCTCACTGACTTGAAAAACATGCACTCGAATCAGTGAGGGTTTAGATCAATGATACATGTCTGATCATTTTTGCAAATCCCGACATGCCAAATGCTTGAATGATCTGTTATTAATAAAACTACAACACATGATGCCGAAAAGAACGTGTCATGCTGTCAGCATACACCATTTAGCATGAGATATTGGGCATACATTATGGCTACCAACAATTTCTGGAGCTGGTTCATACATGTGTGAACCGTCACATGTCATGTCCAAATGAAGGCTCCAGCAACGCATTGCGCCCACACATTCCCTTCGATGCTTCTCGTGAATTACTATATATATATATATATGTCTACTTTCACGGAGCGCGAACACAACACAATTACCACTCTTGCGACCTCGACAGTCATCAATCTTGCACATTCATTGATATGTTTTGGCAGTCGCGTATCTCTCCAATCAGCATGCTAAGGTTCAGTTGCATGTCCACAAGACTGTCCACAAGTTGTGCAACAGTTGAGGATTTTTGCAGAACTAGTTTGAGGAAACTTCTGGGGAGCCTGAGCTTGGATTTTAAAAGTAGTGAGTAATATATGTACCTTTCCTCAGTTGAGGACATTTGAGGACATTTGCCTCTGCAAAAAAATGGGTTCCTAAATTGAAATTACCTATCCTTGCAATTGTTTTTCTGACTGACGTCACGTCAGCCCAGCCTCTTTCACCTATCACATTTGGCAACATCACCTGGTGATGAATCAATTGTTTTTAATGTTTTTTGTCCATCCCTCTTATGTTGATGCGTTGTGCAGTTAACTAATCGTTTTCCCTGCCATTTTTGTGTGACTTGGTCTCTTCTTCGGGAAAAACATGGCGCGTTTGTGGCCTCGATGGCTGAATTGTGCGGCACATCATTTGTTGTCACTAGTGTTGTCACTGTACAAGCGGTGCACATTTCAAAGATGTCAACGTGCTGTTTGCAAACATCACCCCATTCCCCGAACGAATGCACAAATTGTTTTAAACACATTATCCGTGATATCCCTAGTCTTGTGCTATTTCTCAGACTCTCCTACCGCACCCAATTTGCTTGGTCGTGCTCAGTCCCAATGGTTGCACCCACCAGTCACAAGTCACTCCTGGGTGAGATTTCGCAAGGCCGCACAGCCCCAGGCTTGCCTCATGCCAACGATCGGAAGAATCTACCTGCTATGGACGCATGGAATGCCCAAACGACAATGACCCAAAACCCTCAGCTGCCTCAGCTGATCCAAAAGTCCCAAGGCATGCTGATATCTCGTCGGGTCATGTGATCCACTGAGTCTGAGGTGCAAATCCGGCTGGTGCCGCTGGCGCAAGACCTCCAAGACCGCGGAGAGGTCCGCCATGGCATGGTGAAAACGGGGAGCGAGAAAGCGCCCCCGCACCCGTACCAAGCTGGGAAAATAGGTGGGATCAGGAAAGCATGTGCGCAAGTGTACGAACTGATGTTGTTGGAGGATACTCCTATTACTATAGGGGATATATCCATTTTTTGGAACAACCATCAAGTCATGTCTTGGTGCCTTATTCCCTTTAACCTGGGCAAACCTCAAGTGATACCATTTTGTCGTACAACTAAATATTTGTTTTCGTGGCACCGTATGATTGGGTCTTGGACATTGTTTTCTGCTACCAGTACTGGGTTCAGCCCGTCAGCCGGTACGGAAAACGCTACAGCGCTCGCGGGTCTCGGCGTTCCCCTCGGATCCTTCGGCGGCCCTGTGTTCGGTGGCATCGCAAACAAGCCAAGCTCGGCAAGTCGATATATCGAAGAGTTTTCACTTGAAGCTGCTGGCTACACAGTCAGAGTTCCATTTAGATTTTAGATCATTGCTTTTGATATTCTTTGACTGCTAGATCCAAGGACTAACACTTGATGGTGCTTTGGTTTTTTCCAGGTCGCCCGTGGCCGCCTGCAGTCTTTGGATGTCTCATCCGCCCAAACGTGCCCACTCTTCGGATGATCTGATCGATCACCTTCAGAAGGTGCCCCAGTCCCACACCACTTTGCGGACATTCCAAACCTGCGATCACCTTTGGGTGGTTCCACCCCAGCAAGCCAAATAGGGCTCCTATAAAAACATCTTCAAATCCTTTCCGCGGCTCTTAAGACACCTCTTATATATATATATATATATGTAAATATGTTTTTTCTGGTCAAAACCGAATGAGTCTCGCTGTGACATCGCCACACCTGGGCTCATCGGGCGAGGCAGTCAAAGAACAGCAAGCCGCTCGACCTCAGGCGTTTTCGTTCGGTGAAGATCGGGGCAGAATAGGTGCCCTGTGGATCCTGTGGTCGTTAAACATGCGCCTGGCTCTCGGATATATGTTTTTACATGTGTGTTTACAGTACAGTAAGTCTTTTTGAATGGGACTGTTGTTGGAGGAAATAGTTCTAGAGACAAAGATTAGCACCAACCAATTCAAATACATGCTGAGATTAAATCATATTAAATCCACCAGGTTTGCACAATAACATATGTACGTACTGTGTATGGCAATACACTTGTCAACATCATAATCATGCAATCCTTCTATCATAAGGGGCTGCAGGAAGCGATCGGTCGATCTTGGGCACCGACCGGCACTTCCCACACGAGGTACCAAAACGCGGTACGGTGTTTCACCGCGGTTCCTACGGAGCATTTCTACAACTCATGAAGCAACTGAAGCATCTGCAACTCAGGTGCCTCAGAAAGCCGAGGCCAAAAAAGCAACCCACACATCTCAGCTGTGATGTTTTGGACCAATGGGTTTGCATCTCACGTGTATGTGTATATATGTTATATATATATATGAATGTTGTATATATGTGTAGAGAACTGCATTTGTTATATACATTTATATACTATATAGAGTTACTAAACAAACACCGGAGCCGTCGAATTATTCTGCGCACAATTGCAACACATCTGTCTCATTGGTTGATTTGAACTCTAGAAGCCTCCAAGAATGTATAGATAGATATAATGGGGCTCGGATTTAATTTAGGATGTTTTATTGTTTTTTTCGTGTTTCGTGGCAGGCGCAGTACTTTGTGGACCTTGAAGTGCAGATTTCGTGGCAGGTGCAGGACTTTGTGGATGTTGAAGTGCAGCTTTCGTGGCAGGTGCAGGACTTTGTGGATGTTGAAGTGCAGATTTCGTGGCAGGTGCAGGACTTTGTGGGCCTTGGAGTGCAGATTTCGTGGGAGGCACAGTACTTTGTGGACCTTGAAGTGCAAATTTCGTGGCAGGATAGATAGATAGATAGATAGACAGGTAGGTAGGTAGGTAGATAGGAAGGAAAGAAAGAAAGAATGAAAGAAAGAAAGACAGAAAGAAAGACACACAAAAGAAAGAAAGATATAGATACCAGTAGATAGATCGATAGACAGACAAACAGATAGATAAATAGATAGATAGATAGATCGAGAGATAGATAGATAGATCGATAGACAAACAGACAGACAGACAAACAGATAGACAAACAGACAGACTGACAGACAAACAGACAGATAGATAGATAGATATAGACAGATAGATGGATAGGTAGACAGATTTGGGAGCTGTCGTAGCTGGCAAAATACATTGGAATAATGTAGGTCAGAGAAATTCCTACCTATCACAACAGTTTGGTGCAGTTAGCAGAGAAACAGCAAAGAGAAAGAGAACTAGCACAGGAGGCATATTTGCTTGGTTAGACATTTTTGCACCGGGGAGTTCACCTTAAAATATTGATTTCGTTGCAGGCGCGGGTGTCGGAGATGAAGTGCAGATTTGGTGGCGCGGGGGGAGTTGGGGGGGGCGCAGCGCCTCCCCAGCACACCAGATCCAAAGGTGAGCAGCTCGTGCTTGCTTGCTTAAAGAGAAAGGAGAACAGCCGCCAAAGAGAAAGAAAGAAAGACAGAAAGAAATAAAAACAGAAAGAACGAAATAAAGATAGATAGATGGATAGACAAACAAATAGAAAGATGGATAGATATAGACAAATAGATATAGACAAATAGATGGATAGGTAGACAGATTTGGGAGCTGTCGTAGCTGGCAAACAGCCAGGCATATTTACACGAAAAGCCAAAGTCATCAAAAGCCACCAAAAGCGAAAAGCCACCAAAGGAATCGTCTGGATGAAAACAAGACCGTCTTACATCTGGTAGCTGTGCCTCGGACTTCACATTCCTCCAAAGATGGACTAGTAGCAAACAGCCAGAAGCCACGAAAGCAACGAAAGCCAAACGCCACAAAAGCCACAGAAGCCACGGAAGCCACGAAAGCCAAAAGCCACAGAAGCCATGAAAGCCACTAAAGCCACGGAAGCCAAAAGCCATGAGAAACAAAAACACATTAAAACAACACAACAAACAAACCTAAATTAAATGGCCCTCCGATATAATGGACTAATATGGGACATCTCCAACACTAAACACTAAACAGAGTCCACATCGTACGCACATTGTACATCACAGCAGAGCTGCAACTGACACGCAATCAATAATGGAAGGTATCCGGGCTCTTGGGTCCGAATCTTCCGCAGCTTGAAGCCTCTTTTTGCTGATCATGTGCGAAGAAAAGAACTGCCCATCAGGAGCGGATGACGCTCTGAATCCCATAGCTAGCGGTAGTTACAATGGGCCAAACTCAAGCCAACAAGAATACATGTCAAAACGTCAAACATCGGTTCTTGACCGGTTCCAAACAGATTCTGATACCCCAAAGTCATGGAGTACCACCCCCGTCGTTCGGCTCCAGGCATCTCCCGACATCTGGGTGCCCAAACATCCAGCAGGGAGGAAGTACACTGGACCTGAGGGGAAGCAAACACCTCCGGAGTTCGTGCAAACGGTGTCCATGTTCCCCACTTTTGACCAAGAAAGGCCGCACATCAGTGACACCAAAGGGCTGGGTGTGTGCTCGGACTTGGTCGAACGATGAATGCGAGCATATGCGAGCTATATGGAGCTACGAGGGCTCGATGGCGGCCTATGGAGATCTAAGAGGCTTGGTCACCACCAACAGACTTCTACATGATAAATAACCCAGCAAAATGACAGATTTACTCTTAATCATCAACTGTGGTCCGTCAAAGTTGCAGTGGTACATCCGTAGTGGCTTTCCGTAGGTCACAGCGACCCCCGCACGACCAGGGCTTCCGGAGAAGAGCGAGGTCTGCCTTTGAGCAGCACACCCCTCGAACCCAGCGGCAATCCCGTCGCCTGCTGGAACTCCTGCACATATCTGCAATGCTACGTATATGCTGGCTATGAATGTTTGGAGGGAAGGCTGCTGTCAACTTCCTGAACCTCCATTGACTAGCCAGTGGGGAAACAATCTAGACATGTTCATGAATTTACCTTGACCTTGATCTGATCTGCCCCCTCGGTGACATTAACCTTCATTCCCACTTCCACTGCAGGAAACACCCAATGCCTCGCCAGCCACCACTGTCCCACGTAGCCAGGGCCCGGGCAAGTTTGATATGCAGCCTCAGAGAGCACCCAGGAGGTCCGCTCCATGGGACCAGGGTCTGAGGTAAATCCACGGTGCATGGGACCAGGAGCCTGAGGGATGACTTGGCCATGGTGTTCAGTTCTTGCAGTTGGTCATTTTTTTTAGTGATCTATCTCGGTGGATGGAAGCTTGGAGATGCTCGCAAAAGAGGCCCAGGAGGTGCCGAAGACGGTCACACCCGAGGTGTTCACGCCACCCGTCTACGGAGCGAGACAGCCCACGGCATGTTTGATGTTTTCTTTTGTCAGGTCTGGCAAGCTATAGCAAGTGGGCAACGTCACCCTTGCGGAAGACTTTCATGGTTTGATCATCACCTTGACCAGCGACTTCCAAGGGGCCAACTACATACATGGTCCGACACCGCCGGACACACAACATCCCGGATGCGACGAAACACGACAGAAACCACTCATGTTCAGATCCCATCAACAAGGTTTACTCGCCACAGATCCCCCTTTTACAACCTGTGACTTATTCCAGCTTATTCACTGTAACACTTCTTCGGTGCATCCGTGCGTGATGCATCCGTGTTCGTGTGACCTTCCTACCTAGGACCTAGACCTTCAGTCTGCAGCCCCACGGTCCCACGCACCGATCCACCCAGATCCACTCACCGGGCCACATCCTCCTCCGTGGGGCGCCAGGTCGGGGCCGCGGATTCCAAGCCTCGGCCGTGGCGCACCCGGCCAGAGCGATCGGCGATGCCCTCCCGAAGAGCGCAAGAACGATCCCATGGACCCTGGAGAATTGGCCGGTTTCGACCATGTTCCGAAGACCAACCCAGCACGTGGTTTGGGGGTCCATGTGGTCCTTTGTGGGGGAGTATCCTTTCGAAACCTTGGTTTTGTCTCACTAATTGCTAGTGACAGCGTGTTTCTTTTCTTTTTCAGCTTTGCAACTTAAATGAAGTGCTTGTCACTTCAAGACGCCC